GTGGAAGGAGATAAGAGTAACTTGACTATCCTTCTTGTCCTGATTATGATTTAATCTGTGTGCTCACTTAAAGCTCATCCCCTCTTCTTTTTCATGCAATCAACACAATTGTAAATGACTCTCTTAGGGAAAAGCCACATATTTTGCAAGGACCCACTCATTACTAAATATTTTCCTTTGCCCAGGAATAGCATAGCAATTCCTGGTAGCAGAAGGCTCAGCAGCTCGTATCACTAGTTATACAGCATTTTTGAGGCTGAATTTCCAAAGGGCCCATCCCCAATTGCTGCCCACTGAATGGAGGCATTCCCTGGGGACTTTTCTACTTGGAAGATAAACAGCACCAGCCACAAGCTCACCGGAAAATCTTCTCCTTTCTTATCTCCCTAAATTGCTACTCTATAAACTCATTTCAATTACAAGGCATATTAAATACGTTCTGAGTACTGTGACAGAGGTTCTCTTGATTCCTATAGCAACCCTGAGAAACTGCTATTACTATCCCCTGTTGTACATATGAGGAAATTGAGGCTCACAGAGGTCAAGTGACTTGGCCAAGTGACAGAGTCAGGCTGCTCAGGTTCTTTCCCCAACACTGGGAATCCTGTTGCAAAGCAATGGAGGCAGCCAAGTTTTTATGAGCCATCTGGGCAGCAGGGTACGAGTTCTTCCCATACAGACCAAGCGATCTGCTCAGAGGCTATGGAAGCGGCAGCAGGTTTTATTTTTGTTTTCATTTGGTTTGGTTTGGTTTCAATGGCTAAAAATCCTACAGGAATTCTGATTGGCCCCAAAGACAATCCACCATGGCCCACCAGCCAGTTGACTTCTGACCTTCCATGCTTCTCATTCTAATTAATGCAAGGTCCTTGGATCACATTGTGAGCATCGAGACCCAGTCAGAGTTAGCAATGACCTTTACATCTATCAGTCCTTTCAAAATATGTAAAACAGCTGTGCGTTGAGAACGCCCCCCAAACTCTCAACCTTGAAATATGAGTAGATGCATTTTTCCTGATTATGCTGTTTTTAGCAAGTCTTTGGGACATGACTGTTTATGTGTCTAATAAATATTTGAAGAGTGGCTTATTTTTCAATTTCTAAAGCAAAGCTCTAAGGCATGCAAAAAGAAGATTCATACGAATGGACTGATTTCTTTGTCTTAAAAAGAAACCCCAGCATCAGGGAAGACAGAGAAAAGAGAATGACCTGAAAAATTTGGGGGGAAGGGAGAATGTTTGGCTTCCAGACTTGTGCCTCTGATATTCTTTTGTTCTCCCACCTCATTTAAGGATGCTAAATCAAACATGAGTGCAGTGATGTTTGTGTGTGAAAATGACAAAAGCAATGGGCTAAAATCCCAACCTCATCTTGAACCCTGAAGACTTTTATGGCTTTTCCTTCACTAGGCCCTCCCCCTAAAGCACATTAAAGACCACATTGTTCAAAAGGGTCATGGTAGGTTTCATACCCTATTTTAATACAATGTAAATGGTAACTGAACTTCCAAGTTTTGTTAGTAGTAATATTTGTATCTCTCTGGAAAATGCCCATTAAAGGAACTGATCCTTTGGTTTAAATATTAATGCAAAGTTATAATGTATCAGAGAGGCAAAACAATGGCATGAAGGAGGCACTGTCTGTGATGATTAAGTTAGATTTTCTTTTTATGCATCATTTTCCCCAGAAAAGGGGTATAGATTAGAGATGGGTTTAAAATATCCACATGATCTTGTAAAGTGGCTAAGTGTTCTGTTGAGCCTCAAAACTGTCCAGAAGAATATGTCAGGTCTCAACTCAATAAGCATAAAATAAATTAAACGTAGGGCTCAAACAGTAATAGTTAAAAATCTTATCAATTTGTATATTTGTAAGTCACGTTATGGTCTCCCAGTTTGGTTTTGCATTTATTCCTGGAAGACTTCAAACTCGGAGAAGGAATATGAGAGGTTCTTTATAATTCTATTTTCCACAGCTGTTACCATCAGTTGTCACCAATACTTTGGGGGTTTAGTGGAAGTGAGGCGGCAATGACTCCATTACTCTTTCCAACTGCCATAAAGAATTTGCATTATAAAAGTACCTACTGAATTACTGCCTTAGTCCACTGAAAAAGGATACAGTAAAACAGGAATGTTACAGTTGGGCTTGGGAAAGGAGAATTCAAAAAATGAAAATCTGGGCTGGAATAAAAGAACAACAAACTTGGCAGTACTTTTAAAATCGTAATTTCATTGGTGGAACTGCTAATTTTCCTAGGCTCAAGCATTTCTGTTTAATACCCATATAACATGCATTAAGATGTGGCATAATATCACAACTTAAGTGCATTTTAAAATAAGACCTATGATTTCTGTGTGTTTCTTGGTTTAAACAAGCTCTTGGTATGTTAATACCAAGAGCATCTGTTTAGCTCGGTTGAACTTTCAAGAGCCAATACCAGCTGTTGGGGGTGGGATTTCAAACATGTGTTACTCAAATACTAACCAAATTTTGGTTTTTTCATTCTCTTAATGATGCCTCCAACACCAACTGGGTAAAGCAAACGTTAGAATAAAAAGGAAAGAAGGGAAGGAAAAACGAAAGCAAGAAAAAAGATTACTCAATGCTTTGATGCATGTGACTAAGACCAAAATGATCACTCTCTCCAATTCAATACAGTATTAGCATGAGGACAAAAGGCGTTTAAAAATCAATTTGGAGTTATTTCTAGTGGAGACTGCCTTATCCTAGCAAGCTGAGGAATGAGACTATTCCCAACATTAAAAGGGCAATCATAAGGATTTTTTTCTCCTTTAAGAGCAATCTGATTTTCGCAAGGAATTCATTTGGTTGGTATTGTTTTGGTTTTAGGTGTCTGTCCTGCCAGGCAGGGGCTGTGCACAAGGGCTGCTGCATCTATCTTGAAGTGTGCACAATGGCCTCTCTTGCGGCTTGCTCTGTTATTGATCCTTACAGATGCTCCAAGGCCCTTCCCCCACCTTTCTCCAAATCCCAACCCCCCATTCTGAAAGATAGCTTAAGAAATAAGACTTCCTGCCTAGCGACTGGCAGGGCTGAAAGACCAGATTGTATGACTCCACAGATCAGGCCTGCCACAGTGAAAGCTTGAATAGAGTTAACCCTCTGTGAACTAAAACAAAACATTTGTATACCCAGCTGCGACAAAGGTTAATTTAAATGGACAAGGGCCCAATATCTAAAACCAGGCAACGCTTTTTTACAGTAGCATTTTCACTGGTCTCTTTTGTAAGTAGTTTGATTTTGCTTTTTAAGCTTCCAAAGGCCTCCTTCAGCTGGGATAATTCATTTTGCTTTACTAGAATTTTATATGAAATACTCAGGTGAAAATTTTAAAATTCACTCCTTGTTTTGTAAAAGTTCTTGTTTGAGTACCATTAGTTATTTTCTGCCATTGAACAGCTAAGAAAAACCAAAGTTTTAATACTTGAATTAAATAAGCAGCAAGGGAGGACTTTCTGTTCAAACCTTTCTTTTCTCTTTCAGAACCTGTGGTCTATGTATCACTAAGAGATTCAAGCGGGTTGAAAAAAAGCCAAATGCTCCAGAGCTTACCCTTCCAAACTCCTCTAGCTGCTGCTCCGGTATCTCCGCCCAGCCCCAAACTCCGGTTCAAATGGATCTGGAGCCGAAATTACTTCTTAAACTACAACTTTCTAGAAAAGCTAGTACATGCAGAATAGTTTAACAAAGCATTTCTGGGTATACTAAGGGAACGAGAGGAAGCTCTTCAAGATTAAAAAAAAAAAAAGTAATAACAGGTCTTACATGCAATCGATCATTTCTACAAACTTTGCTGTTCCTACTAATTTACAATAAAAACCAGTGAAGTAATTCTGGCATATGAGGTGCTGGGAAAGAACATATAAGGGAGTATTAATATAAAGCGTTACTATAAAGAAGAAAGTTACGAGAGGGATCCCACTCCCTAGTCTGTGCATCCTCAGAGTGAGAACGAAGCTGCAAAGCTGCCTGTGGCAGATGTTAGCCATGCTGCAAGGGGCTGGGAAACTTTCCCAGGACTAGCTATTTCATAGGTTAATGCCCTAGAAATGTACCAACTACCTAAAAGAGTCTGCAACTCTTCTGGCTATAGCTCAGCAGTGCTCGCCTATAAGAAACCAAACTCTTAAACCAGATACACTTTATAAACACAGCAAACAAATATAGCAGATCTTTAATACTAAGATTCATTGTCTAGCTCTTTCTTTAGCTGTGTCTCTCCTGGCCCCAATAATAAAGTTGTGGGGCACTGGGGTTTCTCACACAAGTAGGAGCCTATCTCCAAATATACAATTTGCAATACTAACTAGTTGATATTAATGAGAGAGAGAGAGAGAGAGAGAGAGAGAGAGAGAGAGGAGAGAGAGAATATTTACCCATTTTAAAAACAACCCACTTAAAAAGAAATTAGCAATGGCTTAGTCTTATGCCCCAAACTGCAAAATATCTAAGTTTCCCAAAGGGAATGAGGTTGCCTTATCAACGGCCTTGTGACCCCAATACTACCTATAATTAACAGTACTAAATAAGGCTTTGGCAGATAGGGTGAACTAGGTTAAGGAATTTAAAAATATAAACAAATTATATCAAGGGGTAAATTTTTAAAACGATTTTTAAAAATGTCAACTCTACCTAAGGACTGTAATGTGAAATAAAGTTTAAAATTTTTCAAGTCAGTATAAAATTTAAATCAATTTTCTTTTTTCTTTCTTTCTTTTTTTTTTTTTTTTTTGCTCATTCTCTTAAAAACATCAACCACAACAATTAATTCACAGGTTTCCTTCTATTTTCCCTATTCCAAAACGTTTATAGCCAGTTGCTATATACATGAAAACTTGCTGGCTGAATGCTGCCAAGACACAAAAAAGGAATGAGCTGCCTCCCTCCTCCCTCAAGGCTACTATTTGCTTTAAATCTTCAAAGAAAATTTCCAAACCTTAGATCTGGTCCCAGACTCAAACAGTCAGTTTCCTTACCTTCCCATGTCTCCATTTCATGCTTCTTGGAGTTTGTTGAGAAGTTCTATTGGAGCCATGAAGAAACAGAGATTACAGGACAAGTCTAGCTTGATGACCACCCTTCCGATACTTGGCCAATTTCTCTCTTAGCCGGGACTACGACAGTCATCCTTACAGGTCAGTTTACAAGCCAGTCATGTGATTAGAAAGTTCAGGCGCTAAGGTCACAACGTGTATGGAGTTAGTTTATTACCAAAGGTTATCTAAGTGGAACTGATAGACTTATTTTCCTTAGTTAAAAATGCTGCCTACCATGTCTCTCTGAAAACCATAATGGGAAATTTAATGGTAAATACTCCTCTGGTCTTCCCTAAACCGAGATTTTAAAATTAAAAGGGATCATTTTAAAAGAACCTGGTTTTCATTTAATTTAAAACAGTTCTAATATGTGAGGTTTTTTCCCCTCTCCTTTAAGAGCTATTCTATACTATATTCTTCTATACTCTGAATTAGAAATTTTAAAGTTGAAACCTTTGCATAAGAAAAAGACAAAACAAAAACTCCACATTATGCATGTGTTTGGGGGTGGGGGGAGGAGTGGGATTCCCTGCTTTTTGTCATTATAATAAACAATGACAAGGCAAATTCTTCTGAGAAAATTAAAACATGGAGCTCTGAGTTATTTGCAGGGTTCACTTTAACTCTGGCCCTCAATTTCCATGCTCTGGCTATACACACTACTCTGAAAGAATGTGGAGAAAGGAAACTAAGGGCTGCAAAATCCTTTTAGAAAGCAAAGGTTAGAAATTCCACCCCCTGCCCCCAGCCAAATTCTTAAATCTTTAAGTAACCTTCCTGCTTCATTCCTTTACAACTCCTTAGACCTTAAGCAATCGTTATGCTATGTCTGCCTGATTTGTGAACCACACCAGTAACACAGCAGAGTGCGGCACACCGGACTGTGCATGTACACCGCTCAAACCCCGCCAAAGAGCTGCGGAGGCTGGCAAATCTGCGTCATATGCTAACAACACATGATGTCAAACATCCAGCCATCCATTCAGATATCAGAACACAACGAGAGGGCAAGTTCCACTGAGAAGGTGGGATGGCCCAAAGAGAGACTGCTTCGCGGGGATAAACGCTTCTTAGCTGCACAGTGTTCCATGCTATGAACTCTCCCTCCCTCTCTGGCCTTGGGAAGGACTTAAAGGCCAGGCACATTCTATAGCAGTGTTCCAGAAAAAAGGAGACCCTCCTTGTGGGTGAGGGTGAAAGATGTCACTTGGCAGCCACATAACTGAAAGGCAAATATTGCCACCACTGTAACTAGAACGTTTTCCCAACCAACAGAGAACATTAGGGTCATCTAGCAGAGTAAGGGCCTAAAGAGAAAGTGACCAATGATTTAGAGGAGGAGAAAAGGCTATAATTTATCTGCCTAAAAATAAACGTTCTGCCACTGCCACACACGCCTCACTCCAAACACAAGCAGATCGACCAGCGTTCCTACCCCCATTCTCATCCAGTCAAGAGATTAATATTTTCTTCTCAATCCCTGTGGAACTTAATGTCGCTCTTAAATTTTAGGAAAGTGACTAGAAATAGAATGAAGGGGAAAGCTGAACATGGGGAAAGTCCATCAGGAGAAAGCTATTCAACTGGGAACACTCATCCAAAGGGCAGCTCGCTGCCTCCCCAAAGAGAGAGGCTTATCCGAACTCAGTGCTTGAACACATCAGAGGTGTACTAAGGCTCTTTGCTTCATGGCACCAATCTTTGGAGGAAAAGATGAAACTGGAAGCTATTACTCTGACTCCTAGTATCAAGACTGAAGCAGAGCCCTTGATTTTTAAGGATGGGTCTTAGTAATAATCCCTGAGAACAAATCTTTAACATAGTTTAAGAAGACCGGTCTTATCTTCGTATGCAGAGTCATATTTCTTCAGCATCTTTGGTACCACAGGTTTTTTGAGAGCCCTTTATAGG